TTTTTAATTTTGAAATTGAAATTTTTATTTTCAATTTGTGTTATATACCTATATCATCTGGTGTAAATTATTTAAAATGTTATCTCATGGATATCCAAATTGATGTGAGTCAAACAATGATAATATTAATAAAATGGAAGGTACCCTGGAAAAACTGTTCTTGATAACAATAAAACAAATTTTCCATTTCCAAATGAAAAATATTTTCAAATTAATGTTAAAACAAAAGGTGGCTACAAATTTATTTGTTTAAAAAATATATCCTCAAATAAATCTAGTAGCTATAAATAGAGAACTGCAGGGGCTGTCCATAGCCCGACCCGGCCCGAGCCTCGGGCTCGGGGTGGGTTCGGATATCAAAAAAAATTTTTCTCGGGTTCGGGCTCGGGTCGGGTTGTAAAAGCTGTCCGACCCGAAAACCCGACCCGACCCGAAAATAAATAATAATATTAATATCTTAAATAGTTAGTATAATTTATAATATTAATTATAAAATCATATTATTTAATATTTATCACATTTTAGGATTAAAATGTCAATCATATTAACATGTCATGTCATTATTAATTATTATTTTACCAAACTATTTTATCACTAAATTGTGTGTTTCCCGTGAATTACAAGATAAGACATATTTTATGTACTAAAGATAAGTTTTATTCATTATTTATTATTTATCTAGCCTATTATACATTGTCTTTTTTAACATTTGTTTTAAAAAATTTCCATATAAAATTTAAGATTGGGATTTGATTCAGGGGAACTTATTTCTAATTTAAATTTCACTACCATAAATGTTAATCATCCTAGAAATTAAAAAATATTATATAAAATTGGTAATGATATTCTAAGTTACATTTATATATAAAATATAATCTTTACTTATTTCGTTTTGGTTTTATTATTTTTTTATCTATCTACCTTAATATGAGTTGTAAATTTTCCAGCTAATTTTGGTTGTCAATATTTTAAAATATGGCAGAAAAAAATTAGGAAATTAATACAAGATTCTCAAAGAAAATAAGATGTATACTGTGATACGTAAAATTTAAAACATGAATATTAAAAAAAATCTGTATCTGTATCTTTTGTCAAGAAAATGAAAAAGATACAAGATTCTTTTCAGAATTAAGGATCTTAGATACAGATATCAGTATCTTATTAAAAATGTCAAAATATACTGAGTACAAGATATAAAGGGATCTTGTATCATGTATCTTTAGATACAAGTATTCGCAGTACTGCCCAACTCTGTTTATTTCAGTCTAATTGATTAAAGTCATTTTAAATATTTTTTTAGATTTTAGACAAAGCCATATTAAAAAAAATATCTCAATGGATGCAAAATTAAAAAAAATTGGTGAAAAGATTAAGATAAAAGAGTATGAAGTAAGGAGAATCTTAATGGAAAATCCGATGTATGGAAGAAATTTTCATTTATATATGATGAAAATAAAGAAATTATGTCATTTGTATTATATGAAAATTTATTTATGTATATAATTCAATAACAACAGGTTAGATATTTATACATAAAATATGATCTTATTAAATTATTTTAGGCGGCTAGCAGTGAAAGGGCGTTTTCAGCTGCTGGTAGGGCCTTTGAGGAGACAAGGACTCGTTTAAAGCCAGATAAACTGGACGCCTCTTTATTTATATATCATAATTATTCACTTTGTGTTAATTTTGATAATGATATTGATGAAGTCAATATAATATAATATGTTCATTATATTTTTTATATATTTATTAACTTTTATATCATTTCTATATTCGCATAAATGATGCTTATTGTATTATATAATCGTTATAATTTTTAAATTCGCTTGTATATTAATCGTTTTATAATATTTTTTACAAATTTAATAAAATGCAACTTAATATATATCTTGAATAGATTATGGCCGTCAAATAAACTTTTATTTAAGGTGGCTGAACTGAATAAATAGACATAAATTTTTTTTTGGTTATTATAATATTAAAACTTAAATTGCAAAATTTTATTCGGGTCGGGCTCGGGTCGGGTCGGGTTGGACTAAAAAATGTGTGCTCGGGCTCGGGTCGGGCTCGGACAAAATTTTTTTTTAATTCGGGCTCGGGTCGGGCTCGGGTTGCGAAAAAATTACTTTGCAGTTCTCTAGCTATAACTTCAAAAAACACCTAAAGGTAATTATCATTTTTAATTTTAATAGTATTTATTTTATAGGAATGTTTATGCCAACTAAAAATATAAAAAAAACATCGTAATAATTTTAGTATCGTATCACGTCATTTGCGCGTATGCATTATAGCGAATGCATTACCGCGAAAACATTATAGCGAATGCATTACAGCGAATGTAATACCGCGAATGCATTGTCGCGAATGCATCATAGCGAATGTATTATAGCGAATATATTAGCGCGCATTATAGCGAATGCATTACCGCGAAAACATTATAGCGAATGCATTACAGCGAATATATTATCGCGAATGTATTAGAGCGAATACATTACAACGAATGCATTATCGCGAATGCATCATAGCGAATACATTACAGCGAATGCATTATCGCGAATGCATCATAGCGAATGCAATATCGCGAATGCATTACAACTAACATTATCACAATGCAATAGTGATTTATATTTGACAAAATTATATTTAACCCAGTTCCAAAAAACCAGAGAACCAGCTTAATTGTCTATATTTATTTAAAGTAGCGTTTTAAAATTATTTACCTCTAAAACACGTCACTTGTTATTCATGAAATTCGTATTTTATTAAAACATATGTGGAATTTGGTATACTCAATTTTTTTAACAATTAGATTAAGTCGTTTTTTACAAAAGACCCTATTAATTAATATTTTATATTTTAAGATTGATTCTAGTAAAAGTTAATTTTTGCCCCAACAAGCCCCAAACCCCAGGCTTGTAGATTATATTGGTTTATTAAGTCTCCTATAGGATAATTGTTATTATCAATAATACACCATTTGTATATAAATAATTCATAAAAAATTTCAAAATGTGATATTATATTTTAAAAAATGTTTAAGTTTTAATGAATTTTTTAATTTTTTTTCTAATTCTTTTGATTATCATCCACCAGAAAAGGTGAAAGTTAAAGGGAAAAAATAGTATTTAAAGCTATAATAGCCAATGAATACTTATTATATCATATTTTTAAGCATAATATAATTAATTCGACCTAATTCTACTAGCCCCTAGTTACTGATATGATTAACCCTTTCCAGCGCTAAAAAAATATGTTGATAATTTTTAAATTTTTTTAAATAAGATTAGATGAAGGGGAACATTGGATTGAGACCTCTATCTTATTAAATCTTTTGTAATAGGCAAAATTATTAATTTTATAGCTTTAAAACATAAAATCTTATCTTTTTTAAATTTAAACATTGTTAAATTTAAAAATAATAAATGCCAACTCCTGTTTCAAATATAAATCTTAAAATGATAAAAAATATATTTAATTATATATTATGGTGGTTTCAATAGAGATGATATGTGAATTTAGTTCAAATTTAATATTTTGTAAGTTATTTTCAAATCATATTATTCTGCCTGAAAGGGAATGCCTACAATAAATATTTTTAAACATAATGATTATGAGACTTTCTGAAATGGGAAAAGAAGATTTTTGTCTATTTAATTATTTCTAAATCTCACTGTGCAAATTGGTTTATTATTCATGATATGGTTTAAAACAATTTCAACTTTAAGAGAGACAGAAGGCCACAAATCCATATTTTTATGCCGTTTAATATTATAGTGAAAAACATTTTAATTATGCTTTAATATTATTTACTTATCTTAAATTCCGTATAAAACAATTTATAAAATACAAAGAAAATATTCAAAATAACGAAATTTGAAAATTTAGGGCAGGGCTTTAAATAATCAGAGCTAAAAAATGCAGACCGAAGAACACAGGTATATTAATTTACGACATTTATATTATTTATTTTATTACTAATTATGACATTGAAATATGTTAAATTCAATTTTGTCTGTACTGTAAAAAATAGCTAAATATTAATAAAAGTATACTAGAATCTATCTTATAATATAAAATATAAAAAATATTTATTAATGTATAACTTAAGTTAAGTGTTTGTTGGGCTATCTCATGGTATTTAATAAATTCAATTATAAATTGTCAAGCTTATGATGATATTGACAAAAACGACTACTAGCCCTATTCCTACTATTGGAAGAAAGTTGATAATGAGATCAAAAATTTTGATAATTTACCGGGCGGCTAAAAACGTCGCGTTTTGAAATCTTATTAACTCCGAAACGTGTCATTCGTTTTTTATGAAATCTCCTGTCTTAATATTCTCAAAATATATAATTTTATAAAGTGGTTTTTAGAAAATTAAGATAAAAAAAATGTAGTCGTACATATATATTTTTAAAGATTTCCTTTAATTCATAAACTATAACATAAAAACAAAATATTTTAAATTTTATAAAGTGGCTTTTAGAAAATTAAGATAAAAAAATGTAGTAGGACATATTTATAGGAATTTTTACGGTCCTAATTATTTCATACCTCCTAACCTTACAAATAATTAAAATATTTATTTTAAAGGTTATTGTTAATTTCTTATAGGAAACATGAAAAGTTTAAAATTCATGAAATATTGGGAAATTCAATATAACATTTTGGGAGCGTTAATAATTTTAGTGATTTGGGTAGGTAGTTTATTATTTGGAAGAAGGATTAAGAGAAGTAGAAATGTAAGGATTAAGGGTCAGACATTGACCATTGATGGCCATAATGTAGAAGAAGATGTGATGGGTAAGGTAACCTGGTTACCTGTACAAGAATTGATCAAAGGATGGACCGATAGTAATATGGAAGAGTTAAATAGAAATGAGAGAATTAATAACACGGAAAGAAGGGACAATTATAGTAGACCTAGGTATGACAATCAGTTGGAAGAGTCGTATAGATAGCCAAGAGAAAATTCACAGGGAAGGCGAATGGAAATGAGAACAAATTTTAATTTTCGAGGAAGAGAAAAATTGAGTTGTTATAATTGTGGAAAACCAGGTCATGTGGTAAGAGATTGTCAAGAAACCAAATGTTTTGGGTGGAGGAAATATGGACATATAGCCCCGTATTGTCCGAGAAAACGTGATAAATTACGATGTGCAAGTTGCGGACGATTTGGTCACAATAGAGAAGAATGCAATGTTAGTAATATCAATACTCGAGGCTATTTTCCGCAGAGAGACATGGGGCAGATTGTGCCAAATGTGAGGATTATTGAAAATAGGGAAGAAAAGGAGATAGGAATACAAGATTTTACGGAAAATAAAGATCCGACTATTATTTGCTTTCGGTGCCGAAAAGAGGGACATGTGGCAAGAGAATGTGAGTACTTGTGACTATATGATAGTGAAAAAGGAACCTTAGAAGTCGGGAGGCGGCGGTTGAAAAAAATTGGCAACTTTAGTAGTAAAGGGAAGATGAAAAAATTGAAATGCATAAACATGATGCAAGAAGAGATAGTACATGATCCATGTCCTAGGGTGTGGATAAATTTAAATGGAAATATGGTATCAAATATAGAAGTATTTGGGCAGAGGAAATGATTAAAAGTGAAGACATCAAGATCCGGCAGTTGGACGGATCAGAGGTGGCTGTAATGGGAAAGGTGGAATTAGAAGTAATGTTGGAAAATAGAAGGGAGATATTGGATCTGTGGATAATTAACCGAAGGGTAGAAGCTGTATTGGGATGGGATTGGATTACTCGAATGGGACCAGATTGTGGGTTTTGGGGTGTGTTCGCATGGTGGGGTACATTTTTACCAATTAGGAGAGGAGAAAAGAGATTTGAATTATTGGGATGGAGAGAAATTGCCAGGAATTGAGACCTTTTATGGGGAAAGTAAGGTGGAGAGAAGAAGGTGGAGGGTATGGTCGGGGGGAAATAGGGGAAAATTTTAGGGGAGAAATCAGGGGGAATTTTAAGGGAGAAATCGGGGGGAATTCTAAGAGAGAAATTGGGGGAAATTTTAGGAGAGAAATTGGGGGAAATTCTATGAGAGAAATCGGGGGAAATTTAAGGGAGAAATAGGGGAAAATTTGAGGAGAGAAATCGGGGGAAATTCTATGAGAGAAATAGGGGGAAATATGAAGGGGGACGTAAAGAGAAATTTTAGAAGAAAAAATATGGGAATTTTTAAGGATTGTCGTGACTTTAGGAGGAAGAAAGAAAGGGACAAAACTGAGGAGAGGGAAGAAATTCCTGATCAAAAAGAGTTGGAGTTGAAGTCAGATGAAATTCTAAATAATGGAACAGGGCTGCCGAAAGAATGGGCCAAAAAAGGTGACATAAAGCAAGAAAAAACAAAAGGAATATATAATCCGGAAGTAATATGAAGGGGGAAGAGACCAACCGACAAGTAGAGGAGGGATTTCAAAGCAGGGAGATAGAAGTCGGAATAATCAAGGTACAAGATGGAGTGCGAAGATTGGTGGATGATTATAAGGAAATCTTTGAGGAAAGTTTGGGATGTCTCAGAGATTACGAAGTGGATATCAAGTTAAAGGAGGGACATGTTCCAAAATTTTGTGCTTTACGACGAATACCGTTCGAATGGCGAAACGAACTGGATAAGGAATTGGATCGGTGGGTACAGAAAGGCATTGTATGTCCTGTAGTATATAGGCCAGTGAAGAAGGCCAATGGGAGGCTCCGTTTGTGTGCAGATTTTAGGGTCACGCTCAATCCGTGGGTAGTGGAGGTCAAATATCCGCTGCCGAGAATTGAAGAAATATTAGCAAATTTGAAGGGTAGTGTATACTTTTCAAAAGTAGATTTTTCCAATGCCTACTTACAATTACGAGTGAAGCCGGAGATACGAAAGCTATTGACTATCACTACTCCGAAGGGTTTATATGCATTCTGTAGATTACAATTTGGACTCAGCTTGTCAGCTCCGATTTTTCAACGGACTATGGCTGCTGTTTTTCAAGGGTTGGAAGGTGTGTTTTATTATATGGATGACGTTTTAGTGATGGGAGGAACTCCTGAGCAACATGAACAAAGATTAGAAGAGGTATTTAAAAGAATCAGAAATAAAGGATTACGGGCGAGCACGGAAAAAAGTGTGTTAGGAGTGTCGGAAGTTGTATATTTGGGACATAAAATCACTGGAAAGGAGGTGAGGCAGGTAGACAAAAACATGACGGGGATTGCGAGTATGCTAAGACCATATAATAAAGTGGAGGTGCAGGCTTTTCTGGGAATGGTAAACTATTATCATCGATCTAGAGAGTTTTGCACAGATAGCAGCACCTTTATATAAGTTATTAAAGAAAGGAGAAAAATTTGTGTGGTGATGAGCAAGAGGATGCTTTTGAAGAGTTGAAAAGTAGAATCGGAAGAGAACCAGTTTTAGTATGTTTTAATAACGATTTAGAAGTGATATTAGCTGTAGATGCTTCGAATAGGGGTGTGGGCGGAGCATTGTTGCATTGTATAGACAAGCTGGAAAGACCTATTTTGTTTTTCTCGAGAATTTTTAGAGCCGCCGAAACAAGGTATTCCGTGATTGAACAAGAGGCGTTGGCAGTTATTTTTGGACTAACCAAGTGTCGAGAATACTTAATTGGTCGTAGATTTGTAATCTATACGGATCACAAACCTTTAGTCCATCTTTTCAAGAAAGATAATAAGGAGTTAATGTTGTCTCCTCGGTTACAAAGATGGTTATTACTGGTAGGTAGTTTTGATGTGCAAATAAAATATAGGCGGGGAAGGGAAAACTATTTACCTGATATTTTATCTTGATGTGGCGCTGGAGAAGAAGGGGAAGAAGTAGGATCTGAAGAAGTGGAGGAAAGAAAGGAAAAAGGACTGATTCGAGCGATAGCAGGGATATCTAGAGGTGGTCCCGTGACATGGGAAGAGCTAAAGAAGGTCACTTTGAAAGATCGCGAACTGATGAGAATTAAAAGGAATGTTATGGGGAAGAGACCTTGGAGAGAGGGAGATAAATATTTCAGAAGCATAGAAAAACAGCTGGCTATAGTGGATGAATGCCTGGTGCGAGGAAACCGAGGGGTAGTACCAATGAAATTGAGAGGCGCAGTATTATCCATGATACATGCGGGACATCAAGGTACTGAACGAATGAAACAATGGGTGCGTGAATACGTGTGGGGGCCTGGCATGAATAGGGAAATTGAAAATATTTGCCGAGGTTGTTTGATGTGCAATACATGGGCCAAAATGCCCCATAAGGACAGGAGGAGTGTTTGGCCAAAGGTGACTCAGCCATGGGAGAGGATACACGTTGATTTTTTTGATTTTGAAAATAAGATTTATATAATCGTGGTAGATGCTTACTCAAAGTGGGTGGAGTACAAGGAAGTAAGGGGGCTAACGACGCAGGTGGTAGTGAAAACATTTTAAAATCTATGGGCCAGGTTTGGAGTAGCTCGAACGATAGTATCGGACGGAGGTCTGGCTTTCATCAGTGAACAGTTGAAGAGGTTTTGTATAGAAACCGGGGTAAGACATATTTTGGCGCCGCCATATCATCCCAGTTCAAATGGTCAGGCGGAGAGGATGGTGTCGATTGTTAAGAACTGGTTAAGAAAATTAAAGTATGGGGGTGGGGAAATTTGGATAGCGGTGGCATATAACAATAATAGTAGAAAAAGAGAGGAACCGTCTCCAGCTGAGAAAATTTTAGGGCGGCGAACCCGGATATTATTAGACTTATTAAATCCGAAACCACTTCAAAAGATGGAGAGGGAGATAGTGGAGAAACCGAAATTTGTCGTGGGACAAACCGTGTAGGCAAGAATATATGGAGGTACAAGAAGGTGGGAATCTGGGGTGATCGTAGAAAACATGGAACACAAATTAAGTCGAGTAAAATTTACTGATGGAAAAGAAGGAATACGGCATCGGGATCAACTAAAAAGGGGGCTGGAGCCAGGAAGGTTACGATCAGGAGTATGAGGAGGAGTGATGTATAGGAAATTAAAGGAAAGTATACATGTCTATGTACTCATAAAAGGAAATATGGATATTAAAGGAGAGTATACCTGCCTATGTACTCATAAGGGGAAATATAGATATATATAATAGGAAACGTTTTTTTTAATATATCAAAATTAATATATACAAAATTAATCATAGGAAATTTATATATATTTAACATTGTCGAAATTTCCATTTTTGTAATAATATGTATCTTAAAGTAGCAATGTAATAATGTCTCAGTCATATGATGCATAAAAATACGAGTGATAAAATTTTTCTATTTCTCTCGCTTATTTTTTTTTTGAAAATAAATATATGTTAGCGTTATTGGCTTATTAACCATCATAAATCAAAAAAAAAGAAAAAGAAAAGAACTTATGATAAAAAATAAAATAATTAATACTATGTGGTGGTGCCCAAATATTAGTGCGTGTTAAATTATCAAATAAATTGGATATAAGGCGAGGCCCATATATAAAAGGGGGAAGAAGACAAAAAAAAAATAATAAATAAAGAAAGAAAGAAACAACAGGCAATTTGTTTGGAAAATAATATTGAAAATATTGTGAATAAAAAGTTGGAGTTGCGTGACTTTTATGATTTTAGAAATGTGATGAATCTAGCTAGCTATAAATCAAGAATTTGGAGGGAATTATAACTTTTGGGAGAGAAAAAGAAAAGGGGGTTGACAGTTTGGCAGGGAAAAAAATAATAAATATTATGTAATAATTCTGTCAGGGAACTACGAGAGTAAAAGAAAGTTATAAGATTTTTTTTTTAAAAAGAAATAATTTTTTTTTGTACCCTCTTTCTTACGATAAAAGAAGATTCTATATATTCGAAGGGAAATAAGTAAAATAATTGTTTTCATTTAAAATTAAGTATCCCGCGGTTACAGGATTTAAAATGAGCGGAGTTCATCGGTGTTTATACTGGGAAGAATTGACAATTCGTGTCAGTATCTATCAAGGAAGAGTGGACGAGGAAGGCCGAAGATTTCCCCCCTCAAGGCAGGAATCGATAGAACCCAGATCTGCCAGGAATGGAATAATGGATAGGGGAAGGACCCTGAATCATCGAAATGTGAGCCCGGAATTGCCAGAGCCCAGGATGCCTAGGCTAAGACCCATTAGGCGGGCGAGAACGTGCTACTTATGTGGGAGCACGGGACATTTACGTGATCGATGTCCCCGAGGACCCACGCATAATCAGACTGGATACAATCGAAGGGAAATGCCCGGGACTTCACGACGAAGTCGCAGTTGTGGTTCGATTCAAGGGGATATAGTGCCGATACGGAGGGTGTTATCACCCGAGGGGAAAGAGACACAGTCGGGCAATGGGAAGAAGGAGCAGGGGACCCGTACACCGGTTGTGGTAATTC